AAGACAAGAAAGAGTGTTGAGCGGAGTGCCTTTGGTCTTGACTTCTCTCTGCTCTTCTTCTTCTGCAACCAGAACTGATACTTCAGAAAAGAGAACCACAATAAAACAATCCTTGAAGGTGGTTCAGAAAGATATGACTTTCACTATCTTGATCTAAGGAATGGATTCATACAGCATGCTAAATCAAAATCAAGACAAATTATTACAGAGTGTTTATAAATTAACTTAGTCATTGTTTTGTTCTGAAAGTGCTGAATAACACAATCTGCATTGGAAGATTGTGGCACTTATGATGTTACCTAGTTTGGGTAATGAAACGTCTGGAAGAAAACAAGCTCAGAGAGCATCAAGGACCCCTCATGTCAACTCTGACCTACAAATATTCTCCCTTATTAGTAATTTTTTAAAATTAAGACTCTTCAACACTTAGCAAATGTTACACATTTTGCTCTATCATAGAGCAAGTTGAACAATAGACCCATAATTCTCAGTCCCAAAAGTGCTTTTTTTCAAAAGTGCCAAAGGCAGCTTTTTTCAAAAGGCATCTGAACTTTCATTGTTTTTCCTTGAAGACGTTTCACTTCTCAGTATATATAATTCTCAGTATATAATTTATGAGCGTAAGAGCTGTAAATTAAATGCCACACAAGTAAATCTACATGTTACCAATGTACAATGCAAGCAACTAAACACTGTAGCAATCCTTAAATAGGAGTAGACAACGGATCCGTAACTCTGAATATGCAGGTAGGGTCTACAGTATGCACAATATAATTCTGGGGAATTATATTGTGAAATAAGCCCCTTTCAAATGGTTCTTATTTATAACTAAACATGCTTATACTGTAAATCACAATAATTACAACAGGACCAGTGTAAGGACTTCCATTCTGGATAAGAAACTCCTTAATCACACAGAGGTATGCTCCTCCTTTGAATCTAACTTGTGTTGTTGCTATGGTAAATTTCTGTGATAGTAATCTCACTTCCATTGCAAACAGGAGATGCTCAGTATATATAGACCTTATGTATCTTCTGGATCATCATTTAACATTGTCTCTGCACCATGACAGAGGAAATTTAGAGACAACCAGTTCATTGTGATTCATAGGCTGCTGAACAAGACATCCCATTCGTACAAAGCTATTTTGTTATTTCTGAAACACATCAGACTGATAAAGATTAATCAGAGTGGGTAAAAATATACAATAAAAAAAGTTTGCATTTTGGGATAGCAAGAAATCTCAACCTGTATTAAGAGGATCTATTTGGTATGATGCCATGGAACTTGAATTTAACTTACTTTTCTTGTTTATGTGGAAATTCTACATTATTTGAGTTATTTGTTGAAAAGGGGTGTAGAAGTGACATTTAACATCTGAAGACTCCCATCTGACACTGCTAAATAAATCCACACATAAACCCTAAAACAGCTTTCACTGTTTTCCAAATACCTTTCATTACCTAGTCCAGGCATATCAAACACATGGCCGCGGGCCAGTTATGGCCCGCACAGGCCACGCCCACCCTGGCCCTGCAAGGGCAAAAACAATCCCAATACATCATGATACGGCCCGCGATGCAGTTGGCTTTGACACCCCTGACCTAGTCAAATAGTCATCTTTGTCGAAAGATGTACTAACTGAAATAAATCACAATTCTGATTTACTTCCTACATCATTTCCTCAGATTGTAGACCATCTAATTTATAGGCTCACTACTATGTACTGCCAAAATTCTATAGATTTTAAAATTATACATGAAAACACTCATAATACTGAGGTTAGCATTGGTGAAAATATCCTACTTTGATTTTGAAAAACCAATCCTACTTTGCCAAATGATGTTAGAGTTAAATTTAGATGTGATAAAAATCATCGTATGATTGGTTTGCATATCCCATTCACATATAATGGATGGAACTTTTTTCACATTGAATAAAGTAAGGAGAATTTCGATTGTTATCAATATGTCACAGTAAGGTAATCATGAGTCTTTGCAGCAAAAACGACTCATGTGATACCTTAACGTCTTACGAATTTATTACCTCACTCCACATACCTCAGATCCCTTGGGTCATCATTTCAGTGATATTTCCTATCAAGATTCCTTAATGCCTTCAACAATGGCAGAGCTTCTAATGTTCTTGAAAAGTTCTCAAACATTCATAGAAATATTCAGAGATGTGTCTACCTTGAAAATAGCCCATCTTGAACTGTATAGCAGTCAAACATCAGTTGATCACAGGAAATATTTTATGACATTTGTATTATGTTATTAAATGCTTTATTATTTCACAGGATATTCATAGATCTCTGATTTTTGGATGAATTCTGTAAGATAGCCCATTTGAAGTTCTAGTGTTCAAAGGGTTTTGCCCTTTGAGGCACCATTTTGCCCAATTAAAAGTTGTAAAAAATTGCATAGGTGTGTTTATGAAATCAATGGCTGTGGCAGCATTTTATTGACTTTTCTGGATTCAGAAATTAAAAATTTTAAAAGTCCAGTCACTTTGGTTAGCATGATAGATGACATATAAATTTTATAATAAATATTTTTTTCAAAAAGAGTTGGGCCTGGTTGATTGGGATACTAGTATTTGGCTAGAACATTAGCACTGTAGGCTAAACTCAAAGTGAAAATAATCCAGAAATCATCTGTGGTAAAGCTCTTCTGTTCAGTTGCCAAGAAAACCAACTGGATTTATTCATGAAATGATCAGAGGTTGAGAGCAACTTGGAAACTTTATAGTACACAGGGAGTATGTTTACTGATCACTAAAAAGTAGCAATTAGATATGATACAAACATATCTACATATTATCAATATGTAATAAATGTTTATTTCTGTTTAATATTTAATAAATGTTAAACTGATGAATTTTGTTTTTTCAGGTTTAGGCACATTAAAGTCAATGTCCTGGGGAAATGAAATATTTACTCACTGCTTGTAAGATACTGGTTTATCTGATGTCAGATTTGTATAAAAAATGGCAATTTTGTCAAATGTCAAATGCAATGACATTTGAGCACAAAGATAATATTGGAGGATAAGCAAATACACTATTCTGTAATACTGTGGTGAAAATTGTAGGTCTTGTAGTAATGCTGCCTGATCACATTTCATTTCTAAAGATACCAGTTCAGGGACTGGCATCTGCCACGTCTTCTTCAATGAAAATAGTTTATTTGACTTCTCTAGAATGGTCTTCTCTCTAATTTTTTTGTTCTCTCTCTCTCTTTGGTTCTCTTGTCATTTAGCACTCCCACCTTGTGGTGTTGTGTTTTAGTTCCTCCATAATTGCTTTCCAGCTCCAAATATATTTTATGTTGCTTTTTAATGCTATTAGTGCCATCTTTTCTTCTGGTATCCCTTATTGATTACATTTTGAAAAACAACCATATAAAAATGAGCAATGTAAGCATTAAAACTCAACAAATAAGCAAGCTTCCTCATCCTTCCAATAACAGTACCTCAGTCTAGGTGAGCAGTCGTCTGCCACAGCATACATGAGCATAATCCATGTGTGTTGGACTATGTTTCCTTTCCTCCCTTATGCATGGAAATAATGGGAATTAAAGTCCAACATATCTGGAAGATACCAGGTTGAGGGAAGCAATCAAGGATAATAATACTAATGTCAATATATTTTTAGTCCCTATAAAGTCAGAAATATGAAATGCAGTTCTTAGAACTGTGCTAAAATTATATTTCTATCAGTTTTGACATTTCATTGGAATTCTGCTTTCTTATCTGTATCAAACAAGGTTACCCTATTCTGAAAAAAAAAATCTTCCATGTATATGAAATCATTCTCCTGGTCTCATCATGCCTGCAGACAGGGAACAAGGTGAGCTTTAAAGAGCCATAAAACTGGAATTTTACAACTTGAACAAATGGATTTCTTCCCACATGCCACCTGTCTATGCCAGGAAGGAGCTGTATCGCAAAGCAGCCTGCTTAAAGGTTTACAGAAGGCCTAATCTACTGAACATAATAGCTGTGTAAGCAAAAGCAAGTTAAATAACAATTAAATCCTTGGTAATTTGGTTTTTCTTCTTCCTTCTAATATAAATCAGCCTGTAGCAAGGGAAAAAAAATACTCTTCTAATAAGCTAATAAATGGACATACTCTATATTTATACTATACAGTTTAACCATAATTTGCTTGACTAGGGTGTTATGGATAAACAAATATTTTCTTGATTCATGCCACACATGTAATTATAAATTACGCGTTATATACCATGCTGGCATAAAGTATATTTATGAATTTTGCATCATACTCAATTAGATTTAACTGGATTTTTGAATAAAGTATAATTGGCTGGGTTTGCTCAGCACACAAAACCAAAATAAAATAAACTATAGTAAAGTTTAGTGTACTTGTGAAATAAAGTGCACTACACCATAATATGGTTTGTTTATGTGATATAAGCCAGTTTGGCTTACTCAGGAAACCAAGTCCATTCAATATTCTACAATGTGTTGCTACACCCTTTTTGTTTTAATCTAGTAAAAAAAACACCAAACAATACAGGTAGTCCTTGATTTACAACAGTTCATTTAGTGACATTCAAGGTTCCAATGGCATTGAAAAGTGACTTATAACAGTTTTTCACACTTACAACCTTGGCAACATCCCCATGGTCACATGATCAAAATTCAGATGCTTGGCAAATGATTCAGTGTCCTGGGATCACATGATCAGCTTTTGCAAACTTCTGACAAGCAAAGTCAATGTGGAAGCCAGATTCATGGTACTTACTTAACAAATGCAATGATTCACTTAACAACTGTGACAAGAAAAATCGTAAAAGCTGGGCAAACTCACTTAACAAATGTTTCACTTCACAACATAAATTTTGGGCTCAATTACAGTCGTAACTCGAGCACTACCTGTATAGGTTATAAGCAAAGAAGAATTTCCATTCGCTCCACATAGCCCAGTGGAATCGTTTATGGTGTCTAACTTAATACCGGTATTTGGAACCCACTTGAACAGAGAGATCAAACGACACACCACGTGAGGTCGATAGCGAGCCACAAGCTAGCTATTTCACCAGCGCCTGAAAGCAAGGTCAGCAAAACTAAACCATAGCTGCGCGTTGAGACCATTGTCCTCTCCGAGCTGCCGTAGCTGGGTTTTAAGCCCATTGCCTCTCGGTCGGATTCGGGTAGCCGGAATTGTTCGTGCGGATTGAGCCCTTTTCTATGAGCATGGCGGCGGCGGAGGCAGAGATAGAGGTAGCAGCAGCAGCTTCCACCCATCACGGCGGACCCGAGAGAAGGCGCCATCAGTGTGGCGGGAGCGGGGACGCGTATCGGGAGCGGCTGGACGACGACGGAGTTCGGACCCTCACTTCGGCGGAGCAGGTGGGACTGGACACCGCCCCCGCTTCTCTTGCAGCGAGACTACAACTCCCAGGGTGCATTGTGCGCGGCTTCAGGGAACCCGTTGGCTTTACCGGGCTTAGATGAGCATGCCGCGAGCGCGCGTTCCTCGCGGCGTCTCAGAACTATCCGGGCTGCGGGGCGCGTCAATGGGTTCACCCTCCGTCGAGCGTGCGAGCCGTGCGAGTCCATTGCTGGTAGCCTATTGCATGGGGAAGTTCATGCCGGGTGCCATGTGTGCGGTTCCCAAAGGTTCATCCAATGTCTTCTCCGACTGTGCCGGAGGAACTGGGCCGTACCAGACACTTGAAACGTAGCAGGCTGATTTATGGATTCATTGTGTTGCGAATTTACCTATAGTGGTTATGGTCCAGTCAATGGATTCTGAAAACCCAGTTAATTCAGTAAATCAGTTAATGTATTGTGTGAATACACACACACACACCCATATTTGAATTCCTTGTCTTTTTCCCTAGAAAATCAGTTTATAAAATCAGAGAACTGCTTTTTTGTTGAGAAACTGCAGGAAACATTTTGGTGGAGCTAAATGGTTAACTCTGAATGTTGTAAATTCACACACACACACACACTCACCCCCAATACACATTGTTGTTGCCTGTATGTTCCCATGTCCTTAAAATTTGCTGTAGTTTTTGGATAATTTTAGTTTGTTGCAATAGAAACATCAAATAATACATTGTTTATGCCTTCATCTTATGTGGATCTATCACTTCATAAGGTACAGAATGCATTCATTTCTTTTGAGATAGAAATGTCCACTCACATAGAGCAGTACAGGTAGTCCTCTGACTTACAACAGTTCACTTAGTGACCATTTCAAGTTACAATGGCACTGAAAAAAGTGACTTATGTCCATTTTTCACACTTATAACCTGTGTTGCAGCCTTCCCATGGTCACATGATTTACATTGGATGCTTGACAACTGTCTCATATTTATGACAGTTGTATTGTCCTGGGGTCATGTGATCACCTTTTGCAACCTTCTGACAAGCAAAATCAATGGGGAAAGCAGATTCACTTAGCAATCTAAGTGAATCACCAACTTGCGGTGATTCACTTAACAAATGTGGCAAGAAAAGTCATAAAATGGGGCAAAATTCAACAAATTCCTCACTTAGCAACATAAATTTTGGGCTCAATTGTCATAAGTTGAGGACTACCTGTATTAGAGGTAGTTAGAAATAGTCACAATAAGGAGAGAGCAGAATGAAATATGGAAAGTACAGATAGTTGTCATTCAGAAGCATTAGATAAAGATTTTGCATTTAATTCAAGTCTCTCCTTTAGTGACCTTTTCTCCATTCCTGCAGTTATGCCACAGATTCTTTTATTTGAAGACGTTGCAAAAAAGAACTTATTTAGAACATTTTAAATCTAAAGGAAGATTTCCAAAGCTTGAAAATCCCTGGAGTCTAAATACTAACTTCTTTGATAAATTTCAGAAACTATTTCTTAATTGTCAAAACAAAACAACAATTTTGATAGAGGAAGGAAAATTATGTAACTTTACACATCAGGTTATAAAACATCTTATTCGTTAAGCAGCTATTTCTACCAGTACTTAACTACTGTTGCACTTTCTGTCTTTCCAATCCATCCCTTGATAAGTGATAGGTCTGATTGACTGAGAGTACTTCTATGAATTTAGTTTAAGATATTTGATACCAAGGTTAAACAACACAGAGAAAGAAACTGTCTCTGTGCTCCTAGCTAGAAGCTTTTGGGGGACATTCAAGGAAGATAAGTTTCGATCAATGGCTAAAGCAATAAGGGTTGTAGGGGGTGACACTTTGACTATAGTAGCTAATACAAAGGCATTCCTTTTACTTGGTGTACGTGTTGAAATATACCTTAGTGTTTTAAGTTGGAGTGAATGGATTGGAAAGGTAGTAATCGATTAAAAAGAAATAGATTCATAGTGTGGAAGTTCAACTTACTTACTGCACCTGACAATCAGAGGACATTGAGAAGAAGATAATAGCATGAATTTTGGTATTCAGTAAGTTATAAGCTCTATAATTATTCTAGGTTTTCAAATTGCAAGAATTCAAGCATATGTTTTGTATAAGTTTGCTTAAGTAATGGGAAAATTTTTAAACCAGCATTATCTGCATCTGTAATTCTTTTCCAGGAGTGGAAGATACTCCTAAGAGTTAAATCCTTTTAAAAGCTATTACCATGTTAGGATTCTCTGTTGCTTGCCTTTTCTTAAAGATAACATAACTGCTTCATAGCAGTTACATCAATAAATCAGTGCAAAAAGAATCCTCTCAGTGTGTTTTAAGCATAGAAGATTTATTGTGTTGTATACTGTACTTTTATAGCCAAATTATATTTTGTAGCCCACAAAAGCTTTTATAACACAATAACTCTATTGATCTTACAAGATTCTTTGTGCACTTGTTATAACAGACCAGCATAGCTGTCATTCTGGATTAGTCTGTTCCAGAAAATAAATAAAGCATCTTAAACAACAGTGTCTTACAAATGAATCACTTTATTATCACAAGTTTTAACAGGTCACAGACCATCTCATTAGATATATGAAATATAATCCTGGGAAAGAAGTATTTTGCATACAAATACGCTTAATTTAACTGTTGGGCAGCAGACCAAAATGGCGGCTCCGCAGTGAACTCCGAGCTTAGGGAGGTGATGTTCGACATTTTCATGGGTGTCGGAGGTCAGTTAACCATCTTTTGACCCCCTCCCAGCAAGCCGAGATGTTGCCGGCTCGATAGAGCCGTGGATGGAGCCCGAGGAACAGCTGACTGTTGGGGAGGAGGTTAGAGGACGGCGCGGAGAATGGCACAATCAGGGCCCGGCTGTCGGGGCCTAGGCGGCCACCAGGGCTAGCACAGCCAGCGCCGCGGGCAGCAAGGTTGCTGTGGTGGCACCGACGACGATGGTGCCGGCAGGAGTGCCGGGGCAGCTAGAGAACTACGGTTCGGAGGCAGGCTTGGGCGCCACGGGCGGCAGCGTGGCTGCGGCGGCGGAGGTGACTGCGCTGGTGAAGGCAGTGGCGCTGGAGGCGGCGTGGGCAGCGGCAATACCTGGAGGCTTGGCTGCAAAGACGCCCCCATTGTTGGTGGAGAAGAGGGCAGCATTACAAACGTTAGGATCCCTCAGTTTTTGAGGGATCTGGACACTCCCCCCCCTTTTTTTTCTGAAGCATGGGAGGGGGCTTAACAACTTAATGGCCTGAATGGCCTGAAGATCAAGTTTATGGGGAAGGAACTGAGGATTGTTAGCTGGGGGATGACGGTTGGTCTCCCCCTTAACTGTCCCCCCCCCCCCGCTTATTAGGCTTAGGCCTAATATGGCCACTCAGCATAAATTTACAGCTTTTGATTGATCTGCAGCCTTATTTGACCATTATTTGACCATCTTGTCCTCCCTGGGTTACCCAGATTATTCAATCATTTATTCCATCCTATTACTACACCTTGCTTTTTTCTGAACTAAGCCTCGGCTATCACTGGTGTCAGGACAGGAGGAGGCACAGACACCGAGAGTCTTGGACTATGGTGGGATGGACCATCTCTCGTTTGACCTTATGACTCTGGTTTGGTCACCTTGAAAGGGCGGCCTTTGAGACTTTTTCCCACCATTGAATAGACTTATTATAATCACAAGACTTCCCCTCGTCTTGAGAGGGCGATGATGTCCCGATGTTCTGATGTTTTTAGCATATTATCTTCTCTTTAACATCTTTTCCTTCCTTATTTAATCTACCTGTTTTTAACCATCTCTAACACCCTTTAGTAGAAAATGATCCTTCATCACTCTCAGCTCGTTGCTATTCTTTAATGTATTCAACTGTGAAGCTCCTTGCACTGTGAGACTCCCCCCTCTCGCAGGTTTGGCCCTCTCAACTATCGAGGGCTGCCCTTGATGACGGGTTTTGGAACCCCGAGAGGTGGTATGCTAAAAAACGGAGGCTCTGGGGTTTTTTAAATAGATTTTTAGATCCAGTTTTAAGGGGATCCAGGAGGAGGGTGGTTTTTAATAACAAAAATGAGACAGGGGGGTCTCTTAAGGATCAGCACCCATGCCATTCTGACAGTCCTGGCGGGTTGGGGGGGTTGGGAGTCGTGGGGGATGCTCGGAGGAGGGTGGGACATTCTATACATGTGATGATGGGAAGGGGCAGAAGAAATCGAAGTAGGGGTGGGGAGCATCACACCAGATGCATTCGGATGGTGACTTGCTCCCATACCTCCTGCTCACCCTGCTTTCCTGGAGATATGAGAGCGAGGGACTCTGGTCTCCGTCTGGTATATGTGAATGCCAGGTCCATGATGAATAAGGCCCTCCTCATACGAGATCTTATTGATGAGGAGGGTGTGGACCTGGCCTGTATCACGGAGACCTGGTTGGGGCAAGAGGGGGGAATCCCTCTCTCTGATTTATGCCCCTCAGGCTTTCATGTCTTGCACCAGCCGCGACACCAGGGAAGGGATGGGGGGGTGGCAGTGGTTGTTAGAGAAAGTCTGAGTCCTAAAGAGGTCACTGTCCCTCAGATAGGCGGGTGTGAGTCTCTTCTATTGAAGTGGGACCCTGGAGTTCAGTCGGGCTTGTTGGTCACATACCTATCTCCCAGCTATGTTGCCACAGCCCTGCCCACACTGCTCGATGTCTTGACTGAAGTGGCACTCGAACTCCCCAGCATTTTGGTTGTGGGAGATTTTAATCTGCCTTCGATCGGCAAGTCATCTGAGACAGTCCAGGAGTTCATGGCCTCCATGGCAGCCATGGACCTGACTCAGGTTATTCAGGGCCCAACTCATAGGGGAGGACACACACTCGACCTGGTTTTTCTCTCTGGGCAGTGGATAAATGGTCATGGTAAGGAGGAACTTTCCATCACTCCCCTGTCATGGACTGACCATTCCCTCCTTAGACTGGACTTTCAATCTGCCAACCCTTGCCGCTGGGAGGCGGGACCCATAAAATGGTT